GGCTGTCGCAGTTTGCAAGATTCTAATTCGTCCCAATCGGCATCGCGACGGAAATCACCATTCTCGACTTCTATGATTTCTGAAAGTTCCTGACAATTGCATTTGAGACATGACTCAAAAAATGATGCAGAGACTTTGAGAGGTTTTTACATTTGTGCATACGGCGACATTAAGTTTTGGCTCAGAAAGAGAACTGAGTCATATCGACACATGGTCAATTGGGCGCGAACAAAAGCCACGCCGCCTCTGGATACTGCTCACTGCAGGAAAATACCGCTAGTAGATCGCAGTCTCCACCACACACATGTGTTCGGTGTTTGTCAATAAGTGATAATGTCACCGGATTCAGAAGACTTAGGGAAAGCCGGACTGACTCCTGATATGATCGGAGAACCTTCTTGCAAACTTCAAAATCACCGGTTTTCCTCATTAAAACTATGAGTGAGTGACGTGAACAGGTCTCCCACTCACCTTAAGAGGAGTCAGTGCAACTTTGCTCATACCGTTCTCATTGGTAAATAACAAGCATCCCCCTTCTGAATGTCCTTTTCAATACTATTGGTTTTACTTTTTGCAAATGGATCCACTGACTACTGCCAATCTGTGCATAGATTATTTTACACAAACTCATTTTTTCGTGTTATGGTATTTTATGTACTTTTACAAGTATTTAACGTGAACGGCTTAGCAATGCTGCTCAGTTAAGCTTTACACCGATCTCGTCACCGTTGTGGAGTGACGCACTATCACTGGCAAATTGCTCACTTTGTCATTCAGGCCAAATATGACGTGAGCTCTCGTCAATGCTGTAATAAACGATGAGCTTAAGATGCAGCAACAAATAGTGAAAAAAGGAGTCCTTGAGTCGTCTTTACGGAACGAACTAATTGTGTGAAAGTGATTATTTCTGTTAGCAAAACACTTTTCTGGAATCGGTAAGCTTTGATATTAACTGAACTTCAGGTGTGCGCGGGTCAGCATCCTCTGTAGATTCCAACCCGAACAACAATGACAGTAGACCCAGTACTCATATCATTATGCCCCCTAGGGTAAGTTAAAGTAAATTATGATATGAGAGTACAAGAGCGATATCCGTGTAATTAAAAACGCGAGAGACTGTGAATGTTTTATGTCAATGGTATCCTCACTATTTGCATGACCTTGACCTTGGAGCAATTTTCTAACAAATTTAAGGTGCACCCCTGCTTGACAAGAACCAGTTAGAAGTGCGGAGAGAGAGTGCGACAATCTAGAATGCTCGGCCACCACCCACTAGCCAAAATTACATTCATTTTCGTTTCAAATTCAATTTCTGTCCTGCGACTAATAATTACTCTAAGTGGTCATGTATTTTATCATTAAATACCTACCTTTCCATTAATACGTAATTTAAAGTACTTAATCCTTCCCTTACAAATAACTTTATGACAAAACAATCATATCATCAAGTGCATATAGTACAATAAGCGCATGGATGACTGAATAGATAATTGTCAGCTTTCACTGACGTATTAAACTCGCTGATTCGCTAAAATAATCATCTAGCCTAGGTGCAATGCGATAAACTTTTTCCTGAGAGGAGGCAAATTGTAGATATTGGGTTAGCCTCAGGGCTAATAAGGAATGCCTTAGTTCCAAAATACTTTACATAGCTTACAGTAAACGGGTCAATAGATCCGCGCCATGTTAATGCTGGACCTATGTCCTTATGCGACCCAAGAAACACACGTGTCAACGTGCAGCTGTCCTTGCACCTAAAGAATTGTGTTTAAACATTAGTATATTCCTTTAGCCTAAAAGTGAGTGGTATCAGAACTGGACATTTAACTTTTAATAGACATGCTACTTATCTGTGTT